GTCAGCTGGTCCTCCAGGGTGCCGTGCATCTCGATTGAGATGCGGCCAATTTCCTGTGTAAGCACACAGAGAAGGTTATGACACCTTTTAATGAGAACAATGAGTCACAGCGGAGAGGAGGACATGCACACATGAATCCATTCAAGAATAGTCAAAAATCAAATACCACAGCCTGGCTTTGAAGCTTTTCGTTCATCAATTATTTTCTTTTTAAAGGGCAACATCTCTGCTATTTTACTGAATATAACATATGTCACCATTATGTAAGTACCTGGATCAAGCTTTCAAGAACATAAAAATGTCTCCTTTATATAAGGCTATAGTAGCTCCTACATTTCAAAGTGTTATCAAATAATATTTTAACACCAAATAAGAGCAACTATCAAAAAGCCAAAACTAAAGTCTTATATATTTTACCATTATTTAAAACTCTTGAATATGAAATTCTGTGACAGGAAAAAAAAAACTAATAACCTCTAGTTCAGACCTAAAGACCAAACCATCACTCTGGCCTCATTCTCAACTTATAATGTGCTCCTCCGACTGCGGTTTCTGCTCACACTGACCTCCATCTTGGTTTGGATCCAAGGCCCGATGACATTGGCCTGGTTGGCAAACTGTCTGCGCAGACGCTCGTTGTTCTGCTGCCGGGCGTGCTCTTCAATCAAAGCCTGGTCTCGCTGCGGCACCAGCTGCCTGACCTACAGCAGCCGGGAGATTGATGGAAACACCCAAGTGTGTTAATACTGACTTGTGAAGATGGGAACAATGCAACCTGTAATGAATGGAGAAACTCTTCCCCCCCCCCATTTAAAAAAAAAAAAAGAAAAAAGAAAAAAAAAGATCTTCTCTCAGTGCTTCATGCTTTTCATAACACACGTTCTTATTCCCTTACTGAATATAAAAATACATCTCTTATGCCACTAAAGCTTACCAAAGCATGAATTAGCTTTGACTGGAGCTGCCATACTCATTTTACGTTACTTTAAAGAGCTCACATTTTCTTTGTTGTCTCTTTTGTTGCCTGCCTTTTTCTCCCCGTCTTTTGTTCTAAATTTAATTATCTCTGAATTATTATGCAGAATTGTAGGCAATAAAATGTGGGTTTGGATTCTGACTGATTAAATATTAAAAAGTAATAAAAACCAACATGACACAAAACAAGCTTTTCTTTCCCTGATGTTTTTCTCTTTACCAACTGTTCTCCCAAGACCTCTATTATTTACTATGTTATGCCTCATCCAAAGTTTTTGTCTTGTACATTTTTGCTTTTATTTCCATCACACGTTTTCTTTCTTTCTTTCTTTCTTTCTTTCTTTCTTCTTCTTTGTTTTTGGTTTGGATGTATGGACAGTCCAGATCACTTAAAAATCTGGATTAAGAAGGGAATGGATAACTGAAAGGGGGAAAAAATGCACTAGACCCCAAATTTTCACTCATCATGCACAGAAAAAAAAAGGAAAAAAAACCCACACATGAAAACACCAACAAATGAAAACAAAAAACATAATATTTTATATGTTTATTGATTATATTACCTTGTCCCATTTGGCATTAATCTCCTGTGGGTTGATGGTAGTATAGGGATTGGTGCCGGCAATATTCACGTGATAGGTCTGCACAATTTTGGCAATCTCATTGTGAATTCCCAGGATGGCCAAGCGCTCTTTGTCAGCCTCTGGTAGCGTGGCTTTGAACTGCTCGTGGGCTGCGCTTAATCCCTGAGACACAAAGTGTAGACAAACAATTAGGACGACTAGCCTTTTTTGTGAATTATGAAATACAAAAAAATTAGAGTTTGAATTTTTTTTGCCTAAAAACTGTAGTGATATGGAACTTATATAACACTGTGCAGATATATTAAGAAAGTTTTATTTAAAAAAGAAGCAGCCAAAACAAAACACATGTAACAAAAGCTTCCTCAGTCTGATGAAGTGTTGATTCAAACAACTGCATTTTTGTTCTCTTGATTGATTCATTGGTTAAGACAAACTTGCTTAGGTCTGCTTGCATCTGCTTTCATGGTTTTATACCAGAATCTGACAAAGTCAAATTCTGATATTGTGTTTAATTGCATTCCTGCTGTGAGTGAGATGAGAAGATTCATGTCTGTGTGTCTGTGTCAAATCTGTTTGATAAATGTTAGATTTAAGTCTGAAGCCCATCAGAAGAGAACAACATCCACCTGCTGAGAGTTTTTAATTAAAAAAATTCAGTTTTGAAGAGGCCCCAGACAGTGCTTTATTTTATGAAAGCTTTCTGTTACAGCCATCCTGCCACTGGGCTGTAATTCTCCTCTGTTAGATCAAATATGATTTGTGGCAAAGAGAAAGTATCTCACACAATAGTGCAAACAAACCTGGAAGTGCTTAACTGTTAACAATAGGCTCCCTAATGCAATTTCAGTGCTAAGCAGCTATAGAGAGAAATTCAAAACAAACAGTCAGCTCATGTTATCACTGCTTAATCATTAAGTAGCAAAAACACCCTGCCTGTTGTCCAGTTCATAATTTTCATATGATCTTAGAATACTCCTGGAGTCATTTGACCTTGAAATTCAATTCAATTCAGTTTTATTTATATTGTGCCAAATGACAACAGCAGTCACCTCAGGACCCTGAAATATTACAGAGAAAACTCCAACAATCAGATCAAGCACTTGGTGACAGCGGGAAGGAAAATTTCCCTTTTTAACGAGAAGAACCCTCTGCCTGCCACAACTGGTTGGGGGTGAGGACAAAAGAGAGCCCATTCCTGTTGAACTCTGCTGTTGCTTCCTTCCCTGTTCTAGCCCACAGATCAAAGGCTCTGAATACTGAATGGAACTGAAATTAATGGAATTTGTTTTTTGTGTGACAAGTCGTTAAATATTTAGATAATGGTAAATCGTACACCAAAACTTTACAGAAGCACACTTTGCACAATTGAGCCGGTCATTTTAGAGTTTGAATGATCTTTCTAAAACGGATGGTGTTGGACTAGCTAGGAGCAAAAGTTTTGGAGAATTTGTTTCCATATAATAATGTAGTCATGAAATAAAACCATAGATCTTAGTATATTTATGATTTTAGTAGTCTCACATCATAAGAAGTACTCAGCAAAATGTAAAGTAACAACCATTATGACTTATCCAAAGCATCTATTTAGTATACTGAAGATATATCAACTTGGTCATATGTTCATTTATTACTATTATGTACCACTAGAAGGTGCAATATGCTGTTAAGCTAGCAGGCAATATGTTGCTTCTTCACATTAACTTGACATAGATGATAGCTGCTTAGCCAACGCTCATCAAGAAAGTAAAGAGGCACCAAACTAACAAACACATGCGTTAACTTCTCAGCTACATAACCCCTGCTGTGTGTTTAAAGGCTGACAATTCTATTTATTCCCTAAAGTCGCATCTATTTTTCCCCATCTCACCTGGATCTCTTCAATGGTGTGGACAATAAATGTATCCTGCAGGTCCTCCATTGCGCCCTCCATCCAATTGTTGAACGGAGCCGCTCTTTTGGCAAACTCAAGGTACAGCTGGTCGATGGTTTCAAGGAGCTTCTCTGTTCTCTGTTGAGCATTAAAAATGTGATAAACATCAATTTACAGGGTTTTTATTGACCTTCAAAGTCTATTTGGGTGAAATTCAAGAATTCGTGGAGGCTTATTTTTTTGCATGAGCATTCACAGAGCTCATAGAGGGATTTTGGGGGATATATCTTCACAAATAAAGTCTCTAAACTTGAAAGGCTTTTCAAGGCCAGCAGAAACTCTGAAATTGTCGTCACAGTTTCTCACTGTGAGGAAAAACTCTTTCATCTCTAAATTTCTGCCCTCACCAGCATAAAGAAGGACAGGGGGAATTTAAACCACTTTAAAGTGAGTTCTTTAAAGCGAGTCAGAAATGTGACTCTTTGCTAGCTTGTTTACTTTCGATTCCCTTTGGGCTTGTCCCATGTTACCTGCAGAGCCTCGCTGCGTTTCTGGGTCAGAGCTCCCAGAGCGTCCCACTGGTCGCAGATCCGCTGGCAGCGAGCGTTAACACTGGGGGAGTCATAGTAGTCCAGCTCACTGGAGCACGAAAGAGACAGGAACACAAGTGGTTCGTTATCTGCAGCAGAGCAGCTTTAACTCACATTAATCATCTTTCATAGATAAGAATTTTGTTCCTGTTTGTCTGTCACCTTGATTTGTTGATTTTGTGTTTTATGTGGCGTGAAATGAGAATGAGCAGAATGTCCTAGTTGTAGGCTCAGCTCTTACTGTGCAAACAGGGAAGCTGTAAATGCACAGGAGCCCTCAAATTATCCAACTCTACTTCATCCTTTTATTGATCCACAGAAGGTTCCTGCACAATTTACGATTTCCATCTGTTCACTTCTCTTACTTTAACTCCTGTGCAATGGCTGCAATCTGCTCCACGCGGTCCTGGTGTGCCGCCAGGTCACTCTCAAAGGCCTCGTGTTTTTTCAGCAAAGCCTTAATCTCTGACAGAGAGGCCGTCTCATAGTCCCGCTTCTGCAGCATGTCCTCTTTACCTTCAGGGGGAGACACAGAAAGTATATCATTAAAGCTAAAACATCTCCCACCTATACTTCTGCATTTTTACTTCAGCCACACAGCACTAAGCACAGGAGCGCTCTGGTTCTTTATGTTCATATGTGCACTTTTTTCAAAACAGTAGGTACCTTCAGTCCAGGCTTCGTGGATGGCTGCTTTCTGCCTGAACTTCTCTGCCAGGTGGTCGAGTCTCTCCAGCCTGCGGATCTCGTTGAGGAGCCATTCTTCGTAGCCTTTTTCTGCTCCCTCTAGATTTCCCCATGCATTGTTAATGTCCTGCATGAGGCAGAGGAGAAACAGTCTAAAACAGGCTGTGACTTCAACGGATGAAAATCTGAGCTATAAATCCAAGTAAACAAAACAGCTTTCATGTTCTGCGACTATATATATTATTTTACAAATACACACATCCACAACCTAGCATTACTTTATTTAAACCTCGCATTTACTTTTATGGCTCACTGTCTTAAGTCTGTACTTAGCAACTGTATATATTCTACTTAAGGAGTGACGACTTATTCTGTTTAGATCAGTCCTCAACGTGGAGCTGAGACTGCTAAGGTTTAGCAGTCTCAGCTGCAGTGTAAAATGTTAAGGTACTATTTGTTGCACTGTTTAAAAACACTTAATGTTTTACATGCATTCAAATTGCTTGGAATTTGCATGTGCAAATGTTGAGCACCTTAATTACACAAAAATGGTTTTAGAAACTTGGCGTTTGAGCCATTTAGAAGTTCAAAAGCAGTTGTTCCTTTTGTCTGGCTGTATTTGAGCTTTGATAAATGTTTTGCAGATGAGGCTTTATTGCCTTTTTCAGTTAATAATGAAAGCTTTAAGACTGAACCAAAAGGGAATTGAAAACAGTGAAGTTACAGTTGGTGGAATCTTATTCGATTTGTTTGTATACTATTTATTTCACAGTTATAATGGGAAAAATGCCTCCTGACGTTTTGAGACTTTACAAATTGTAAAATGTTTATGTAATTGTTGTCACGGTGTAATTATTCATATTATGTAATAGTAGAAAATGCAAAATAGTTAGAGTAAAAAAAGTTACAATGTTTTCTGACATCTCAAACTTTTTCAAGTTTGTTCTTTCAGAAACTGCCCTGACTTACCGAGACCATCTTTCCCTCAGAGGGCATGAACGCAGGCCTGTTGCTGAGCCTCAGCTTGGTCTGCAGGGTGTTGAAATTGATCTCCAACTGGCACTTTTCCTGCACTTTTGGCGGCTTGTGGAGGCGGCGATAATCTCTGAAGTCCTCCAGCTTCTGCTGCATGGCCTGCATGGTGTTCTCCGGCATTCGGTTCTCCAGCCAGGGGATGGTGCGACGGATCCACTCCAGCAACTGGGGTGTTGTGTAATGCATGGAAAAGTGTATGTATGTATGCATGCGTGTGTGGTAAAGGATGAGATTATGAGGAGGCAGATTGAGGGAAAATGAGTTCATGGAGATGAATGGGGAAGAAGAACCATGCAAATCACAGAAAATGGAGCGTAATGATCGTCAGAGAGGAAGAAGATGAGATGTGTTGGATGTGATTGACATGTGAAGAAAGAATATAAGGTGAGATAATTAGTTGACTAGTTACGTTTTACTAACTGATTGCAATGAAATGTATGTTTTGTGTCTTTTTGTATGTTTTCTCTCATTTTCTTTACCATTATCTATCACAGCATCAGATATACACAAATATTTTTGTATTAAAAGTTCACTTAAATTAACCTGACTTTACAACAGGAATGCACCAAAAATAAATATTTTTAAAATAGTTTTTAATAAACAGTTAACTTTTAAAAATCCACTGATTTTTTCAAGGAATTGTTCATTTGGGGAAATAGACATACTTTCTTTTGTCATGAGAGATAAAAGTCTCAGCTTCAGTGGCATAAAGTGCTAGCCTGAACCTGCCCACTGGTACGGTGGTAGGTAAATACGTAAGGATAGAATGAAATAAACACGTAAAGTTCATATCTGTTTGTTTAATCTGTGACAATGTACATAACTGTGAGGTAACTCTATAACGTTATCATGCAGCATGTACTTTACCAGTCTGGTCTAATTCTCTGCTACATAAAAAAAAACTCATTTATAAGCAAATGGTATAAAATGAGAGAGAAAACAGACCGACTACCAAAAAATCTGATTTTATCTGGTGCACTTCTATGCCTAAAACCTGTTTGCCTGGCCGCTGGTTATCTTGATCTGCCATGTTTATACCTGTTTAGAGCACAAACACCCCCAGGGGTAGGAGGTGAGGGAGTGGCGCAGTAAGGGTGAGGAAAACAGAAAGGGGTGGGGGGGAGTAGAGAAGTTGCAGGGCAATTAAAGGATAATAACTGGGGTGTGCTCACATCACTGGCCAGCTTCTCATAGTCCTCCATCAGCTGCTCATTCTCTTGGTTGACAGCCAGCACCTTGCAGATCCTGTTGGCCGCTGTCTCTGCCTAAATGGTGGGAGCGAGGGGGGGAAACAGAGTGAGACCCACAGCTGAGAGAGACGGAGCAAATTTTGAGCCTTGGTGTTATGCAGCTATCTCTAATGTTCCTTGCATATCTAACTGGTGAGTGTGCCACAGGTGATATATTTGATCTGACTGCATCCATCCATACTGCCTACACAGAAGCACTCCAAGATTTCCCAAATGAGTCATTTTTAGGGAATGAAGCAATACATCAGCAACAGCTCTGCAGGAAAGTAAAATCAGGACAGTCACTGCATGTTACCATACCTATAATGTATAATGATGCCTGGACGTGTGTGCTGTACTGAGAATGTCAATGAAATGCCCCAAGATTAAATAGAGTCCAGCCTGTTTCCAGCAGGCACGACTCTAGAGAGCAACGGCGACAACTCAGAGAGCTGTAACAATGATGCATTAAACTGTACCTGCCATCAGGTGTAGGGGCAGCGTTCTCTCTGCAACACTATCTTTTTATAGCATAGCAGCAGCAAATAGTGTTATTTTAGCCTCTCAACCCACATAAAGAGAGCTCTGACTGGAGAAATGTAGAGTGAAGCCCAGTGGTGGGAACAGAGGGGCTCATCTCTGACATAACACCTCTCTCAGTCTTTAATACTGAATGCACAATGTATGAATAAGTCACTGTGATGATATGTAGTCAGGTAACCTGTTGTGTGTAAGATGAAAATGCTGTAAAGAGAAAAGAATTCTGAAAGAAAATACAAGCAGAAACTGAAGTGACATGCATAAAGTCTGGAAAATATGCAGCAGAGAAATGCAGCACACCCAGACACAGTTTTTAGAATAAAACAAGAAACTCCATCTGCGACTGCAGCAAATCAAAACCATTGGCAATATACCTCTGAAGTGCTTGACAAGTAAATGTATTGATTGAAAAGGCAGCACAGCCTTGCAGCAGTGTCCTTTTAGAGGGTGCACAGTCTCAGTAAGCTAAACTCGAGTCTCCCTCCTGCCCCATTTCATAGTTCACAGCCTGGCATCCCACACTGAGGACTGTTTCCAGCCTCTTTTGTTAAGAGATCACAGGGGAAACTTGGCTCGGTCAGAGACATGCTCCGGGGGTTCCATCAGGAGTTGCCTTAAAAGGAGAGCCATGATGTGCAGGTCGTGCTTCTGTGAGCAAATGTTTGCATGCTGGGCCTGTTTAATGAAAGGCTCGACAGCCAGGACCTCTTTCATGAATTACTATGTTGTGACATCACAGCGACCAGAGGGAAGGATTATTAAGGTGAAAACCATCTTCCCATTTATCTGCGGTGCCACTGTGGACACTGCCCTATTTTGTGTCTCTTCTGTATGATCAGCAGAAGCCCCACAGATCTGCTGCTCAAACCTTCAGGTCAGAAGAAAGTCAATTCGAAGAGACGGTTTGTTTCAGACAGTGGAAAAACTAAGGGGGCGCACCAAGACTTGATATAACAAATATTTTTAATGGAACAATTAAAGGAAATTTTATCATAATAGGTCCCGCATTAAAACCTAGAGATCATAGTTCTTTGATTCTTTTGACATTCCTTTTTTGATTCAAGCCCTTAAACTTGCAATTACTATTTTTTTAGCCCCTTTGGGACAGCAGAAACACTCATTAAACACCAAAAAAAAAAAAATTCTACCAAATAACAGATTTTGAGCATGATTGCAATTTTCTCTCCCGTTCCCTCCTGTCTCTTAAGCAGCTAAAAATGAGTTCTTTTGTCTAGTGTGAAGTTTAACTGAGCTTTTCACTTTAAACATTTGACAACACTGACTGAGAAACAAAAGAAATAAACTGGGATGTCTGACAGCAAAATTAAGAGCTGAAAGAAGCTAAACAAAGCACAGAAGAGCGACAAACTGTGATAAAATTCTGGGCACTCTCCTCGCAACACAGACTATGCACTAATAAAAATGGACCATGTGATCCAATGTTAATAAAAACATTAATTATGGGGCCGTAACTTAAAATTGGGCCTTAAAGAAGATGGAATATGTGTGTAACTACAAACTCCATCAAAGCTCAATGAAACCTCCACAATGAGAGAAATAACTAATAGTTCTTTATATTCATGTTCCATCGTCATGTAGCAAACAGGTGATACACACGTGTCTCCTTGCTGCCACCTTTTTTGGGAGAAAAAGGAATAACTTGGAAACCAGACAACATCATGTAGCACAGAATCTATTTTTGGATCACAGACTGAATTGTAACCTGATTATCAGGAACTACACTTTCTTAAAAAACAATACTGTTATTTAACTTTGTGGAGTTAATGTGAGGATTTCCACGTGCAGAGCGTTCCAACATGGGAATGTTTAACTCATAGTGTTTATTGCTAAATATCTGCCCTAAAGGGTGAAATCTGAGGTGTTAAAGAGAGGAGGAGTAACTGTTCCTCCACCCATTGTTTCTGAAATCTACGCCAGAGCTGTAAAACTGTGTGCCAGCCAGCAGCAGTTTCCGGACTCCTGCTTCTCAGGAGAGCTCCATTAAGAAGTGGATCCTAATAAAGATTTTAAGTACAGGAGACTTAGCGGATATCCTGCATGTGTGATAAGTCTCTATTACTCGCTGCGGAGATCTTTAGCGGATTTGGCATGTCTTTGGAATAATATATTCCACTGAGAGTGCAGGGACTAGTTGCAGGGGTGTACATTGTATCAGGGATCAATATACTGCTGAAAGAGAGGAGATAAGGAGGCTCTGAGTAAGCCAAGTCTCCCAGTGGAGCCACCCACAATAAAAATGCATCAAGCGATAGCACTTCGAGGCACATAAACTCAATTTTCAGATAGCAATGATGTCAGCAATGCAAATATGTGTGTGTTTCTTGGATTGCTTAATGTTTTAATATGAAGTCAGAGCAACCAGATATCCCACTCCCACCTAGTCTATAATCAGGATTTGCTGTGCAGAGAGGAAGAACTCTGGGTGCCCTGCCTTTACTGCAGGACAAGAGAAAATGTTCTTTAGAAACTTATGGTATTGTAGTAGGAAACGTGACACTTTACATACGAATTCAAAACATAGACCCTGCTTTTAGCTCCATTTTTCATCTCCACAGACTCTTCCTGTTAGCTGCTGAATGCTCCATTATGTTAAATACGTAAACTCTTACTGTTTCTGTCTGCTGTCTGAAGCTGGACCAATCATGTACAGTAAGGGTTTTTGAATATTCTTTGGACACTGTAAACATTGCTATGAGGGAGGTCTAAGTGAATGGAAACATGGAACTGTATAACCCAAACAATGAGCTAAAAAAAAATGCTAAAAAGCTTCAGAGAACTAAGACAAAAAATAGATGAGCTGTTATTCACTGCCAACCAGTACAGCAGGTATTTTGTGATATTTCTTTTTACTTTTTATTATGTTTTATTTCTCACCTTCTGTTTGCCTGAGAATGCGTGGTAATAACACGACACATAAGTCATGACGGCCTTCTCATCTGGCCTCAAGGTGCTAATGATATCTGCCAAGGGAACAGAGGAAAAGGAGAGAGGACAGGGAAGAGAAAAAGGCACCAGTGTAAAAGTGTGCAGAGACAAAAAAGGGCCAGCAGGGGGTGCAGTGACAAGTTATCTCCAGTTTACCTGCAGTTGGTCTTCAAGTTCGCTTGTTATTAGCGATTCTTAATTTTTCTCCTGAAAAGTGAGATGCTTGCCTTGATTCAAAGTGGGAGGTGGAAGCATGAAGTGAAAACACATTCATTTTATAAGGAGTAATGGTTTCTTGAGTGTTTTAACTTTTCATTTTGTTGCATTGAGAGCCAGCTGTATGTCATCCCACACCTCCTTATCTATGATGCAATCCAGAGTCCAGCTGTAGTTTAACTTCTCTCAATGAGGCACACCACTCTCTCCACTTATAAACACAGACGTTTTTGGTGCACGTTGCTTAAACACAGCTGTGGTGAAGTGCTCTCTCCACTGCTGGGCCTCTTAGATGACCCTGGCTCTTATATAACTTCTGCCTCATGATGCTGCAGAGGTGCAGCACAGTCTCACATTTCCTGTTGTACTTCTATGTACGCTGTTGTCAAACTAACAGACAGGAATTTGTTATCCCACTGAGAAACTCCAAAGTAGCACTTCTTTCCTGTAAAGAAACCGGGAAATGGACTCCTGTGTGTAACCAGCTGCCACATATCCAGCCTCCTGCTTGACTACGAAGCACCAGTTTTAATTTTATTCATTCCTTCACTCTCAATTTAAGCTGTCACTCCGAGGGCTGAACATAATCGTCCAATTAAACAGTTACATATCCCCTTCTGTAATACACTTCAGGCTAATTTGTGTCAAACCATTGCTGTTATCACAGCCAATCACCATCACTCCGATCAGATAAACGTCGCCACACTTCCCACTCTGCTTTTGCTCAGCACCATGAAACCCTAATGAGGGGTGGCTCTGCTAGCCTGCAGTGCCATTACAACAAGGTAGACTGGAGACACACTTGCACTCACTGCCTCTAAGAACAGCGTGTTTTTGTCCCATCATGCATTTGGTAGTGTGAACCATGCGGAAAGTAAAGAAGACGACCCCTGCAGGGGGCGTTGTGCACTGCAGAGAGAAGGATACTGTTAGGAGAAACACGTGGAGGTGGGGAAAAGGGAAAGAGGGGAGTGAGGCGAAGAGGAGAAGGAGGAGGAAGGAGACGCTGCATCCAGGATACCTTCTGAGCGCCTGAGAAGGCGTGGTAGAAGCTAGAGACGTAGGTCATGATTGCCTTCTCGTCCGGACGGGCAGTGCCCACAATGTCTGTGGGGAAGAGAGGACGTCAGGGAGGGGATGGAGGTTAGGGTTGAGTGGGAGGAGGTTGAGGTTGTTAAACACAGAACAGTTAAATGAAGAAACAGGAAACAAAACTCATCACATAAATAATATTTAGAATGAAAACAAAATCAGTGGTATGGACCAGATGCGCTTATGGGCTTTAGCGCCATCTCTTAACAGAAAACCTCCAGTTTTCACATCTAAAACTACTTGGTGAGCAAACCATACTTGAAGATACAGGATGACGTCAGTAAGGCTTAATTTATTTGTAGAGAAAGAACTGAATATTTACATTTAGTAGAAAATAGTCTCCCATTGTTTGCACAGCTGCACAAGTGAATGCTAAGGCCAAAATATACCCTCTCAGGAATCAGGATAACGCGCACTTGTTGAAAAGTTGGTCATTTAAAGTCAAAGCAGAATGTCGTTACCAAAAAAAAATCAACAAATAGACAGAAAAAGTTGTATTTTTTGCATTCCTTCACTCTTTTCTGAAGGCACAGTAGCTCTCACAGCTGTAAACACTAAATCAGTTAGAGTGGTTGAAACTTGAAATAAAGTGATGCAATATACAAAGATCGAGTTAAGGTGACACCGAGGTCTTCAAAGAGCTTTCAGATTTCTGAAGAGAAAATCTGAGAGAGCAGATTTTTGCTTTTAAACAAAAAGAGGCAAGAAATCTGCTCTTCGTGACGTCATTTTATAGTTTGACTTCCTGCCTGCTCACCTTCTGCGTCCAACATCTTGGGGATGTCCAGGTACTTCTCTGCCACGTCGAAGGCTGTGTTCAGGTTGGTCATGGGGTCGTCCTGGCAACAGGAACAGTCAGCAGATCATCAAGACTTTTACATTGCTTTTAACTGCACCATAGAAATAGTTAACATCATCATTGGAGATATAAGCATGGTAATTAAAGTTAGCTACAGGGGCTGGCAACCAGTACAGAAGAAGGTACAGCTAGAGTTTCTCATTAATTGGTCAGAAGACAATCATGTTACTTCCTTGTCTTATTTTCAGAGTTTATTTGAGGCATCTGAAACGCAGTGACTCCCGTCTACAGCTCCAGTTCGGGGTTTCGATTGCCTTTGAGCAGCACACTCACCTTGCGCAATTTTCCATAGTCAATGAGCTCTGGACGGTGTCGATGAATGAGCGCGCAGAACCCCAAACCATCTTTCCAGCTGAGAGAACGAGGCAGAGAAAGAGTGATCAGGAAAAATGGCAGGAATTTAACTTTAATCAAGACCATCCCCCATCAGTCTGTCCTCCTTAATCAGCTCTGTGTCAACCCCGAATCATTTCAACACCACGTGCCATTTTACCGTTATCTTCTGCACCAAACGTGCTCAAACAATAGCTCTTAAAAAATTCAATGTTTTTTATCCTTTGCCATGAAATTTTCCTTTGTGCTTTTGTTGCAGAATAAGAAATAAGACATACTAAGACGAGACAGATGTTCAACGTGTGTTCGGGACCCAAAGGAGACAAGAAGTTGGGGCTTTTGGTGCTTTTCAAAAGAGAAACTGTTTAAAACTCTGATATCTGTTGGAATTTGAGCGCCAGAGCCTGGAACACATTTAAAGAAAAAGATATTCCTGCTCAGACACTTTTGTACACTGAACAGACATGATATCTTGGTACTGGTTTTCTTTCATTTTCCAGAGCAATTGTCTTGGCAAGCGATCTCACTGCGACTCACTAACAGATGTTACGTGGTTCGCTTCTTATTGTATGCAGAAACCAATTGGCTCTTTTCTGCACAAATACAATAGAATGCCAGGTTTTAGTGACTCATATAAAGTTATTTATAATTCATCTTCAGCATTTACTGCATTTTGTCATATTTAAACGATGCAGCACAACAATCTTCATGCAGATATTCTCTGCCTATGCTTTCTCTTTTGATGAGACTGGCAATAATGTTAACATTTGGCCATTTGATGATCAACATGTTATATGCACTAATATACTCCCATATCATCCAGATGCTGGTAATGTAACCATGTGTTCATAAGACACCAGCTGGCCAGATCCTCTTTTACCCAGAGCATGGGGTGTCTATGGTTTTCATAAAGAATTTCAAACTTTGATCGCACATGCTTACACTCCACAGGTGTTTTTTGTGTTGTTTTATTTGGTTTTCCTTTTGTTTTATTATATTTTGCCGTTTTCACCGCCTTAAGGCACCGTTAACCTAAACAGGACTTTAATCCTCTGTGTTCAGCACATCAGGATTGTGTGTAATAAAATGTGCTTTCTAAAGGAAACCGTCATTGCCTTCAACCTAAGTAAGCCTAAGCACAAAGAAGGCCTTTGTATACAAATAATTCTCAATCATTTAAAACTATCATGCACCGTGATGTAATCTGAGAAATAATTCCGTATCATATTACTGAGCTATTGTCAATTGTTTTGCTCTTATTTATATTTCACTACTTTTCCAGCCTTTCGTATCTCCAGTATGTGGAGAAAAGCTGACCATGTGGATATTTTGCGATTTTAAGATTAGATATTAGATTTGAAATGATTTCCAAGTCCTTGCATCCTATTATTTTTGGATCCCAGGTTGTAATATCCATACAAGGCATAGCAGCTAAATCTGATTTTGATCGCGATTTTGTTTCTCTGAAATATATTTTTAGCTTGGCCTTCTGTGGCTCATTGATTGGTGCCCTTGGTGCTGAAACCAGTCAGTCTAAATGCAGCACGATGAGATGGAGCCTCACAATATCATCAATCTGGGGAAGCTGGAGAAGGTTTATTAGTGCTTTCTGGCTCCAAACAACAAATTAGTGAGATGGGATGCTTAATGTATTATTCCCCATAAAAAAGTGCCTGCAACGCACAACAGGAGTTTTTACAAGGGTGCTCATTGCTTCTTATACCTGAAGCAGCAGTATGTGAGCGTTCAGAGAGCAAAAGCAAACTCTGTACTCTTTCCTCCTCTTCCATCTCAAAAGCCCTGCTATCATCTCTCACAGTGAGACCACATCGAAGATCGGGACTCTGCTCTGGCAATCCCATTCTCCTGAAATGACCTCATCTCCACCTTCTCATCTCAGCTTTCATCCACATCTGAGGATCACAGAGGTCTTCTTTCAATAATTCAACATACATGGAGGCATTCTGTGACATGGATCCAGGCCCGGCCAGGCCTGAAATAGGGATGCCTGGGTAGCATCCTCACTTGTATTTTCACATTCAGAACTTACAGCTAGTCGCTGTAATTTGATTAATTATTTGCATGCAACATGTCTATGGATAATTACTTCCACTTCCTGCGTTTCACAGTATACTTTACGAGGATGTCTACTGTCTGTTCCTGGTTAAGGGTGTGCACTCTGCTATTTCAAGTCTGATCTGTTCACTATCAACGCTGTCTGAGGCAACAGCTCTCATCTGCATCGAGTCTGAGCTATTTATGAAATTATGTGTTTGTGTAATTCGGGTGTTTTAAAAAATTAACTCCACATAAAGACCTCACTGAAACAGCCGAGCTGAAAACCACATTTTAACTGAAGCAGTGCCCTTTGCTGATATTTGGAGGGTAGAAGGATTCATGCATAAAAAGCTTACCAGTAGGAAAGTATCATGTGTCAGTAGGGGACTTCCAAAATTTAAAAACACTTCACTGAAAGAGGCTTACGCTTCAATTTTTTTGGCATAGGTGGCAACAAATGGTTGCAACAGGATACCTGAAAGTGCAAGTCCTCGAACACGAACAAAGACTAAACCCAAATACAGAATTTAAACACATGATGAAGCATCCTGTCAGAGATTTTTTTTAAAAAACAATCTCTAACAGGATGTCTCACAGCTGGGACGCAACCTAAGAATCTGTGTTGCATTAAGGTTATTCATAGTTCATAGTGTTAGAAGAGATCTAGATCACAAGGTGACACAAATACACTTCTGTTTATATGTGTGTGAACCTGCCAGTCCAGCAACAACATGCCTCAGGTGTTTAAGCGTTTTATCGTCCGCCCATGATGAGATTTGTGCGTTTGCAAAGATTTGTTTTTCCCAAAGTTTCCAAAACAAAGACGAACGACAAAGACAAAGGTAACATAACCCAGAGTGGACGGGACGATATTTAACCATCCTCCTGTAATCCAGCTCTGAACTTTTGCTCAGGTAATATCTGCTTACTGTATCTCCTGATTGTCAGAAATATTTCCAACACTAAGCAACAAACTGGGCTGTTTTCCTTTTTCCCCTCATCTTATTTAAGGTTTGCCTATAAATGAGCATTAGAACAACGAAGAGCCAAAAGCAAAAATGCACAAAAGGTACATTTTTCCACTGAGGTTAAGCCTAGATAAAACTGTCTTTAGCTGAGGTGAAGGCACCCCTGCTCGTACACATTCTTTAATCTAATTTTCCCTGTTTGACATCAAATTTTGAGCCTCCGATAGTTATGTTTATGGTTCCACAATCTCATGTGATTAACTGTAACTGCAGCTTAGCATGTGAGTAAAACAACCATCTGTGTTGCTTAATTTGTGCTCCTCTCCAGCCTCGTACCTGATGTGAAAGTTTTGGATGTTAACATTCTTGTATGGCGCAGTCTTCCTCTGGCACCACAGCAGGAGGCCCTCTTTGGCAGATGTCTCTGTGGTTGGAGAGAAGGGATCATTGTGAAGTTGGTGGAACTCTTGGGCTTTTACTTTGACCGACTCTCCACTAATCCCTGTTTAGTGCTGGATTAAGTGGAGGTGAAGAGAATGGAAAGCATGTGTGACTGCTTGAAGGTTTCATGCTTTCCTATTTCCAGTCAATACCAAATGGTGTCAAGCATCCTCTTTTAGCAAACCAGTAAAGCAAAATTCACTAATAAACACAGTGTGGAAATGCCGCACAAAGCAAACTTTGTCTGGCGTTTAAATTGGATTATCCTGTAAGTGCATTATATACGTTAACCACGGACAGGACCGCATCGCAAACGTTTCCACCTTGAAAAAAAAAAAAAAAGCTTTTTTAAGCTCAGTGCAAAGGTCTTAACACTGAGACACTGTGTCAATGAAAAGTGTTTTCAATTGCAAATGAAGACAGTGAGCTAGGCTTCTTTTCAATAAACCAAATGAATAAGACACGTGTGGACATGTTCCCACAAACACAACCACACACATACACACACACACACACACACACACACACACACACACACACACACACAAAATGCTACCTTCCACAGAAATGTCTTGAATGGCAAAGCGGAGGATAATGGTCCAGATCATTCCCAGGGTCATCTTGGCGTTGCCATCTACGATCTCTGCAAGAGGGAAAACCAGTAACATTTCAGGACTGATGCATTCAGCAGGCACTTATAGTATAATATATTTTTCTCACATCTGGCTTGTTTGGTGGTTTTCAAGCAAAGAAAAACTAAATTTTTAGGTTTAAAAGCTGACAATTTTGTCCATGGCTCTAAGGAGAAGGCAAAGCCCTTTGGTTTCATCTATTTAATGGATTGCTATAAACTTTGACACTTTGCCACATCAGGCTTTACAGACTGCACCTATTCTTAGTCCCTTGATGTGGATTAAAAAACACTCAATAAAACTCCTTCAACAGGGGGAAAAATAAAAGAAGAAACTCCCAGGAACGCAGACACATTTAAAAACAAACAAACACCCCCCCCATCATATTGCTCTGTGAGACTTGTACAGTAATATTAGATGTTAAGATTACGTATAACAGCTTTTAAAAGACTATATTGCTATTCTGTGTTGTATAGATACAGGCATTTACTGTAAATGTTGTTGCAACAAAACTTATATGTATTTTGGCTGTTTGGAAAACAAATCCATTAAAATTATCACATTTTAAAGATGCTAAACATACAGCACAACAATTGGATGTCATCCTAAGGCACCAACATCCCAACTTGGAGTAGTTTCTTATACTTAAACTACTGATGAACGCTTGTGAGGCCAGCAGTTTAACAGACTCACATAACCTAACATGCACTTGCACACGAACCAGCTACCAAAACAGAGAGTGGAGACGCTCAGGTTACAGCACACGCGCAGGGAGGCTGATCTCATTTGCTGCTAAGAACTCCACTATATTTTGATCCCTATTTAGTAAAACAGCTGCTTGCTGAGATATCAGTGTTCAAAATCTTTTAATCTCGATGCTTAGATTAGACAACAAGATAACCAAGAGGTCAACTAAACACTCAACTCCACTTTAATGATTTCCCTTATGTGTGCAGCAAAGCCTTTATGAATGAAACATGTGATGATTCAGTGATTTGAGCCCAGACCTGTTAAGCTGTCAATCAGCTGTGCGCCTGCAGCTGAAGGCTGTGAATGAACTGCCTGTGTCCAGCCCTCTCTGTGTTGTCGATAATGAAAATCCCCTTCAACAGGTCACCCTGTTTGCCCGCTTTCAATAATTATTTGTTTCTGCCTCTAATCCAATAAGGCTTGGAGCACGGCCGCTAGACTGTGACAAACTTAGACTGCGAGATGCCAGTCAGATGTCTCTGCGTGTAACGCGGTGCGAAAGATGCCCATGATTGAATTAGGAGGCAGAAAAAAGTCGAGCTCGGTGCTTCAGGCTGACACATGCAGATACATGTTGAGATTAGCTCTAATGAACATGACTGATCCACCAGGGGAAGAACAAAAATCCTTCTAATTCCATTTGAAACTGCATCCCCCCCCGTCTTTTATCCCTCACCCACAACAAACCCCCTGAGGAGTCGCAAAGACCTGAGCCTTCGACTAGTCACTTCCCACCAACACAGCTAGCAGAGCGGCAGGACCAGGAGGGGATTCCAGGCGGATAATCTGTCTGGAATGTTGGTCTGGCTTAGGAGTTTTTATACTATTACTCTGGGCAGAAAAAAAATCTCTAGTTAATTTCAAGTTATTTCAGTTAATTTTCATTTAAAATGCACCTGCTCGCTGGTGTTCTTTGTTTGTAATCAAATATTTTTGACTTTCCTCCTGCTGGTCTCACTGAACACATAACTGATATCTCTTGAGCTCTGGAAAAATGACACAACCAGTTTTTTTTTATATTTTAAACATTACAGATCAGGTCTGTCAAACTCATCTACCTCACGGGCGCAAGTTTGAGCTCATGTGGGGTGAACCAGAGTAACTAATTATTCCCCCTAATTGCAAAAATCACCTAAAATCTTTACCTTTTTCAATTAATTAATTAATGTCATTATTAACATGTATGTACCACAAGACATATTATTATATTATTCCACCCGTTAAATATTTTTTGTCATCACTCCTTTTTCAGCTCTGTAATAAATCCAAATATATCACCAGAAATAGGTTGCTTTCTATTTAAAATACTTATTCAGTTGCTATATTTTAAAATAAAATAATACTATGAGCCACTTAAAAAGTTGACATTTATACAGCTTGTGAATTAAAAATATGTTAAATCAATTTTTCATTCAATCCATGTTTACGCAGAGGAAGCACAATTGTGACTTTGTCAGATTTTACGTTGCAGCTCAGCTTTTGTCATTTAAACCTTCTCAAGCTGAGGAGTTCTTCCAAGATTTGTGCACGACGCTGACAGAGACCGGCTTATGATGGAAAGACTAGAGGTTCTGAACAGCAGCCGTTAAGACTGTTCAGAGGTTAAACTTATTAAGCGGCATTGGGGAGGGACAGTAATGCCCGTCTTAGCCACCGTCCAAGGGATCATATTCATTAAAGGGACACTTCACAAAAACATTAAAACATATACTACATCTTTAGTCAATACAGTTATAAATTGAAGGAGAATCTATTAACCTTAAATTCTAAGGTTTTAGTTTTTGTTTATTTTCAGTAGAACAGAATCTACTAGAGTGCTTTTTACAGTTAAAATTATTCCTTATTCCTGTATTTACCTTCAATTGTTCCTTGATGAAGAAATTTTCACTTGTCTCACTTTAAGATTAACCTCCCTTTGCACATGCAGGTTTGTGGGACTTCTGTTATCATAGGCAGAGCTGTGTGGCTGAGTTGACTGCATTAGGCCTCAGTCACACAGCTCTGAAGACCAGTCAGCAACCATATGGCAACCAGAAAAAAATCCCACAGATAGGTGAGTGACTGCTGGAGGTTGCTACAGGTCACAAAGAGATATAGGGTGCTGTACTTCTCCTTGGGATTTCTTTGTTGCTAGCCGGTTGTCACCAGTAGTTTACCGCAGAAACAGAGAACATACACCTTCAAAGTAAAAGTTTCCCCTCCTGTTGATTGCAACAGTAAGGCAAAACTTTTACTCTGAAGTTGAATTTTCCAATTTCCTTTTCTCTGTCCCATTTTTTCACATTTCCAGGAAAAAAGGAGATTTTTGGGTGAAGCTGATCTTACCCAGCAACCACTTGCCAAAAGATTGGGGGATACACATTTATAGTCACTGACTATATCAGGGGTAGGGGACTCCAGGCCTTAATGGCCGGTGTCCTGCAGGTTTTAGATGTGTCCTTGATCCATCACAGCTGATTTAAATGGATAAATGACCTCCTCAACATGTATTGAAGTTCTCCAGAGGCCTGGTAATGAACTAATCATTTGATTCAGGTGTGTTGACCCAGGGTGATATCTAAAACCTGATATCTAAAACCAACCCTTGACGTCTGGATTTCCCCCCACCCTTGGACGATATATAGAAATACCTGTTTCCAACTCAAGAACCGAAAACTACATTTGTAAGGAGATTTCATAGGGATTGCAGTATGTGTTCAGAAACATAAATGTTAAACTGTTAACAGCAAAATCAGCACACTATCTTTAGTAATTCTGGGTAGTTTTTAAAGCCATCTTTCTGCGTTTTGAGGAGCTCTGCAAAGTATCTATTTACTTTCACTCTAAACTAAACGGTAAGCCAAAAAATATCTGACAGTATATGATTTTTTTCAGATTATCTACAGCCATTGACAGACTTCCTGTTTGTTGCAACACATGTATGCAAACTATGCATGTGGCCAAGACTGGACAGACAGTCAGAGAGAGTGAGAGAGACAGAAAGTGAAAGTCGAGTGTTTACTCTGCTAAAGACTTGTTTACTCTCAGACGGGAAGAGGATGGACATCCCCGAGTTATTTGTGCTGAACAATGAGCAGCCTCAGCCCCAGAGGGGATTGCTGATCCTAAGATCTACTCTCAGAAAATGCACTGCAAAGCACAAGCTCTGCCTGAGCACTCGGCAATAAGGATCTCATTAAACCGCACAGCAGCCTGTGCCACTGCCATGGTAACGGGTGAGAAAGCGAGAGGGAGGGCCGGAGGCCACATTATACATAACTATTTACAACAGAACAGTAGCTTGGCTGATGACCTAATTAAAATCAACAGGCGACAACGTGAAATGCAAATTAACTACAGAGAAGGTCATTCTGGGTTTTGTGGAAACTGTCTGACCTTTGCTTTGATGTGACATCACTCACCTTCAGCTCCAATAGAAACCAGCTTCACTCCTTTGCTGGCGATAAAGTCGAGGGCTTTGTTAACATTGGAAATCTTGTGGACTCTCATTTTGCCTCTCTCTGGTTTGGCCAAGCGTTCGCCTGGACAAGAAACACATTTTCAATTACAAAAAAATATTTTTTGATTAGCGAAAACACATGACATCTTACAAAAACAATGTAATGTTATTTTAATACTTCATTCTGAACTCCACCTTCAAATTGACCTACAGCTCTGGTTTCCATCTGCATAATCAAATATGAAGGCCTTAATTTAAATTCCTCTCATAACCAGACACATTATAGAAGATAAAGCTGTTAAAATTGTGTTTCTTTAGTTCAAACAAACACGAGAGTGTTATCTACACTATGATTTAGCTGTCAGAAATACATTTATACAAGCATACTGTTGGACTAGTCCTGTAAGGGGAATTCTGGTAGCTAAAAATCAACAAGTGCTGTTTTCATTCAGGTAATCTTGTTAAGCAAGGAGCTTTTTTCCTCACCTGAGATGACCTCCAGCAGCAGCATGAGTTTCAGTCCATCCCGGAAGTCCTCTTCGATGTTCTCAATCTGCGTGCCTGCTTTCCTCAGGTGAGAGTTACACCAAGCTGTAAACGTCTATACGATGGGGAAAGAAATCAGATAAAAACACCGTCACATGTGTGTATTTAATGTGCTGCAAAATATACACCAAACATGAGCCAACCAGGTTCTTAAAGGGGGCAAGTTTACTTATCAAGCAACTAGAGTTTCTTTGTTTGCATTGTATTGTATTGTATTGCAGGCTTATTCAGTTTTACAATCTGATGATATTGGCACTAGTTCAAAAAAATCAAGCAAGCAACGGTGACAATATCATCAGCAGGAGATTGTTTGGATTAGCAGATTTATTTAATTAAATGTTTTTTTTCCTTAGGTGGTTATAACATCATTTTCTCAGCCTTCCAGATCACACAACACTTCTTCCTCCTTTCAGACCTCATCTGCCCTTTCAAAGTACACCCTGTTGTTGTGTCTTGAACTGTAACCTTTTTGCTGTAAGTGTAACGGGCACAGTGGATGGTGAATGCCATAAATCCTGCATTTTTGGCTCATTGCACTTGACATAAATAATGGGACTAAATCTTTCTCTGACATATTAAATAACAGTAATGTGGGTACAGGAGCGCACCAGAATCATCAGCTGTAAAACAAAGAACAGCTCACAGGAATGCTGTTAGCTTGAGGGCACAAATTTGGTAAAAAAAAAAAAATAAGAGGATCAACATGGTTCATCTTTTGGGAACTACGAATGTTTGTACAAAATTTGTGCATTTTCTGAGAATTTGAAGTAGATGCTGACATTTTTCAGTCTAGCCCAACATTGCTATCCACAGGGAAAAGCTGCCAGGAAATCATGTCTGGTTAGGATATCTGTGAACAAAATACTGAAACACTGCCAGCTCCGTTTACAGTTTATGAGGGATGAGGGAGTTCTCCTACAAGGACTAATAAACCACAACATCGGGACCTTTAAAAGTTACATATCAATGGAAATCTGTTGATGGGCAGATGCAATCCCTGCTCCCACACTTTCACCTTTTCCTGTGGTGCCGACAAACTTGACTTCTGGATTTTCTTCACTCAACTTCCACACACTGGACCATTGTATACATACAGTAGGTGTAGCAAGCCTTGGATTGTCTGGCATTGCTGGCATGCAAACATGCTGATGGAAACCATCTGGAGCAGGACCTCAACCGCCCAACAGGAGCTGGCATGAGGACTGGGCCCGTTATGCACCCTGCTGCAAAACGCCTTTTTATGAGTTCCCGGGTTAATTGCATCCACTGTGTGCAGATCAGACACTGTGTTTCCTCCAGAGAGCTGAAGGAGGACCTGCAGGAGTAGAGCCAGGCGTTTATGAAAGCCAACACTGTCTTTCACTGGCTTGCTTTCTACTGCTGTGGAACAAAAGCCACTTAAAAGTCATTGGCGATCTGGTTTGGAGCACTTGTGGAACTTCCGCGATGAGATCACGCTTAAAAATGGAGTTGCGTGAGGTTTACACGGCTATCAATAAACTACAGTGTGGAAGAGCTGGGTTTAAGATGTGTGTGAGGTTGATGGCGTGTGGTGGAGTAAGAAAAAAAAAAACTGGAGGAAACTCTGTAGATACTGTAGAAGATGTGAAGGGAAACAGACAGATTATATGGTGTTTCATCCCTAAGGGCAGGACTGACGGAAAAAGACCAGCACTGAAGATTTATGTGCAAACAGCAGGCACACGCCCTGAACCCAGAAGATACTACTTTCCAGCAATACTACTCATGATTTAAGTCAAGCTCCAACAGGCACTAAGATATTTGAAATAATTCTAATCAATAGTCCCTTTAGGGGCTTTCCAAATGTTTTAAACAGTCGAGGCAGAGCTGTGGTGTCAGCAGCTTGTGTGAATACTGTGCAATTTAATCAAAGTATTAAGATAAGAGTGTTTGCTGGCTCTGCAGGTTCAGATTCTTACAATGTTCTGTCTCTTTTTTGTCTAAGATGTCATTCTTGACAAGTGCCAGCTCTTTTGTTCCCTCCTCTTTGTGAAACACCTTCAAAATAACAGAAAGACGATCTAAATTATATCAGGAAATTTTGCTAACCACCTGCAAACAGCTTCATGTTCAAGGAGAGCAAAAAAGACAGGAAATGGTGTGAAACGTACAAAGTGGAGTGTTTTGTATGCTCTGAGCAGAATAAAATGAGTTTTTACCTAAAACTCGTGATTAGTGCAGGTTTATGAAGACCAGAGTGTTGAAAACACTCAGAGTGAAGCTGCAAAGAGCACAGTTGTGAAAACGACTAAAAGTTCCCAGAAGGAATGTTAGCTTGTTAAATGTCTTGGAAGGAGGGCAAGTTTGGCTGCTTCGGGTTGGACGACAGGCCTCCTCCTGACAGGAATTAGCCGGCCCTCCTGCAGTTTCTCTAAGTCTCTGGGTCACTGTGGAGTTTGGCAACAGCACACAGTCCAGGCTGGCAGCCACCTGCACCATCACATGACCCCCCTCTGGCTGCGCTGTGGACTACACTCCCAGACACCTTCAGGTGTTCTGAGGCTCTTGGCAGGGCAGGGCTCAGAGTTGCTGCTCCACTGATCACAGAGAGACAGATTACTGCACGAGCAGGCAGCCAAGCATGGCTTTGAACTGAAAAGCTATAGTCAGTCTAATCTTAGAAAAAAGAAAATTAATAAAAGAAATGTGCACATTTTGTTGACCCAAGATCCACTTGAGGTCACCGCATTTGTGGGACTTGCCAGCGACATTACCCAGCACAGTTCAGTCCTCAACCTAAAAGTCTTTCTATTGTAATGTTAAAAATGAAGATATACTATCTGATCTGTTTCAAATTCTCCATCAATAAATTGTTAGGATGATAATTTATTTTCCTGGAATAACACACTTTATCCTGGAAGACCAGATTTAAGATCCACTTTGAAGGATTCTTGGTTATAGTTGCTTGTCAAGCACTGACTGCTACAGAGTGGAAAGGTGGCATTTTCCCCATTGCTCCTCCTTGGGATTGAAAGTGACACCACAACTGTGCAATGAGTTTCCATATGACTCAAGCTCGTCTTTGCAGAAGATTGCCAACCCAACTTAATTAATAGCCGTGGTGGACTCCCAAAAGAGCTAAGAGAGAAAAACCTCCTCTGAGAGTTACCTAAGAGTGAGGCTGAAGGGCTTTCCCTGTGCTTAGCACATATATATTTATAGCCTGAGGAGGATGCAGGTTGAGTGGCATCGTCAAAAAAACCTTACACAGTATCATCAGGCACAATATGATGTGACATCAATATAATACACTTAAAACTTCAAGACTTACTTTTATTTAAAAAAAAACAATATTAAAGAAAGCCCATGTTTGCCCATCATCTCAACTGTGTAGCTCACTGAGACTCTGTGTCTCTACTACCGTCAACTTCTCTGTCTGATTGTTGAAAAGCAGGGACTGATTTTAAAAAAATGTGTCATTGTTTTTGGATCTGCAACAAAAGGACAGAGTTGCCCAGATCAATACAGCAAACTGACCAAAAACTCATGCAGCTGTGAAGCACCTAAAGCGATTAAAAACTGCTCATTATATGAATCTACGGTGTGGCGTGTCTCATACTACTCCTCTGCACTCCATTGCAACTGTTTGGTCCTTGTACAGTTTGTGTCAGTACAGTATGTGCTGTGAATCTCTGTAAGCTGTTGACATGTCTGCTCCAGAGTCCTGCCAGTGCAAAATCGCTCTCATTACTGCCGTTTAACGCAGTCTGTTTCAGCTTCAGCATCATAACGTGTAACCGAGCAAAGTGAAAGCATGACTGAAGGGCTGAATGTGTCTGTGGGAGGAACTGGAGGGTCGTAAAAACTGGAGGCCTCCCCCATTCTCTGCTCTCTCTCTCCTTCTCTGTCTGGTCTCAGCCTCCCAGAACTGAGGCAGGCTGTAAAAACAACAGGGGTCAAGAGTGGGAGAAATCTGCTCCACATCAACTTCGGGGAAGTCTGCCAGTGAGCATCATTGCATGCAATGTTTATCCCATGGCAACCACCAAATCCACAGTTCAGGACCCTTGAATACCACAGGATACTCAACCTGGATAACCTGTACTCAGTGGTTATAAACACTCTATAATAATTTATGTCACTGGGTATTTTGTTAACCACCAGCACCAATGAAAGAAATGTGACTCAGGTTTTAGTAAAATACAGCTAGAGATCAGTGAGCAACCATCTAACAACCACTGGTTGCAAGGGAAAAATCTGTATGCAGTAGCTGTGATTACTATTCATGCAGCCCTAAAGGCCGGTCGGTAACCTCGTGGTAACTCCTGGCCATTAGGGAAAGGTGGTTGCTAGTAGTTACTACTATGAAATTGATTGTAAAGAGTGCTATACTGAAAACTTTCTTGTGATGGCTTGCAGGTTGCATGTAGTTTGCATGGCAGATGTCGGTTTGGCAGATGCTAACGAAGCAGAAACGGAGAAAATTCACCTTTAAATTAAATGTTGTCTTACTGCTGCAACCAACACATTTAAAAAGGTGCAACTTTTACTTTGAAGGCAGACATTCTTAATATCTGGTTTGAGTTGTACTTCCTTAAGCTCAATTCTTTTCCCTTGTGACCATTTGCCAGATGGTTGCTAACCAGTCTCTAGACCTGTTACATAGAAGTTCACAGACATGTACTGCATGAAATTTTTATTTGTGATATGTCAAAGCCAACTGCTTACCCACAGATACTCTTGCTAAAGTTATTCTGTTAATATGCTGGTAAAACTTGTTTTGTTACCGTTTGCATTTGCTTGCTGGCTGTTATGCATAAAGAGGATATGAAACAGCTCACTGCAACCAAAATAAAATGGACTATTAAAGTCAATAAACATGCATATTTCTGTGGGTTTGGACATTTCTGGGAACATCTGGGGCAATGTTAATACATACGGACGAATAAATAAAAGAATAAAACTGACCAAGTTTAACTGCAGGGAGTGGGGCAAAAAGAAAAATGTATTATATAAATAAATAAGCAAATAAATAAAAGAATTCTGTAAACTTAATAGCTTTTTCTTTGGTTTCAACCATACTGCCATTCTTTA